GAGATACATGGCCTTGGGCCGTCCTCAGGCAAGGACTGGCTAAAGTCTTGGGGCCGGTTGGTAAGCAGACAGGTGGCCCGTCCAACGCTGCTGACTGCACGGCTAGTCTCCGTTCTGGTTATGGCGTGCTTTGGCACTACAGTGTTACAAAGCTCTCCAGTTCCCGTGTTATCATGGCAGAGAGCTTGAGCCATCAGACCTGGGATATGCATATTTCCAGACCACAGACAGACAGAAGCCGAGTACCGGAACTAGCGCTTGGCACTAAGCCGACTTGTGATCCTTCATACTTCATCAATCGGAATGCTTCATACGCACGCAAAGTACTGCTATCTTCTGTTTGCTGTGGTGACTCATGTGCCGATGCGAATCTGGTTTTGGAGTGGTGCTGATAATACTCAGCAAGGGATGAGGAGCATTATCATGATGCTGATGCTCGTGCTGCCTGTTTGTTGAAGTTGATGCTGATGACAACAACAGCAGCATGCTCACACTAGAAGCAGAAACAGCCCGCAAGAGAGAATGTAACCCTGTGCTGTCAACTCTCTTACCCAAGAGCCCTCTTTGAACACAGGCCTCAACAGATGGCCGTCTACCAATGGCGGGCTCCTTCGGTGACACGGTTCCGGCGGCTGAGGCGGGGGCATTTCGGTTTCGTGACATGACTCTTGTTCCTTGCTATTTGTTTGATGAATACTATGGGGGCCTCACTAGTTACCTATATTAGTTTGGGGGTTCCTTATTCTAAATATACCATGCAGGACCTCAAAACCCTATTCTAAGTATCAAGGCCCCTACATTATTGCCATGTGGGGCTGGGGAGCAGATTTGTCTTGGCAGCCTCTGAGCTCCTTCATGTCGACTGTGGCTTCCGGGTTTCCAGATCATGGGGCCTCCGACAGGATCGGCCCTGATTTGGACGGGCTTTGGAATCGAAGTTTTGGGCGTGTACGGGGTGGATGAGTGTGCGAGCCAGGGCTCTTGTTGAGAGTGATTGTCGACGCTGTTTGTTGAGTCTGATACCCTAAACCTTAAACCCTAAACCCTAAACCCCTAAACCCTAAACCCTAAACCCCTAATTAAACCCTAAACCCTAAACACAAAACACCCAGGTGAATCTGCAGAGCTTGGCCTTCCGCGTGGAGGGGCAGCAGATGCAGGCCTTAGACGAGCGCGCGGCGCAGGAGCGGGAGATTCGGTTTGGTTTAGGGTTTAGGGTTTAGGGTTTAGAGTCCGAGGTCTGGTTTAGGACAAGCTTCGTGTCGTTACTGCGTTCCTGACTACTGCTTCCTTGATTAATTATCTTTGGTCTTCGGGTAGCACCAAATTAGCGGAATTAGCTGTAACTACCCTGCTAGCTACCGTTCTTTGCTCTTGTTAGCCTTGGGCTTCTTACAACCACCAGCCAAGTTTGTCCGCTAACGCTCTTACTTTGCCGTTCTGGCTGAGTCTCACGTTCGCGTAAATTAGTCTTCGGAAGCACTGTGGAGCTTTAGAGTGCCTCAACAGGAATGTTAGCAGGCCTGCAGGAAATACGTTGAGGGTCCACTACTTCGGTCCTCTGGTCGCTCTCTGAGCCTCAGCGCCTAAACTGCAAAGCGGAGCTGTTCACGTCGTTTTGGATTTGGCCGCCAGATGTTTCTGCAGGATCCCGATGTGCTCCACGTCTTCGGTTCGTCTGCTGGGAGCTCGGTTTCAGCTCACCTGCATGTTGAACATAATTAAGGGAAAACAGACAACCACGAAATGCATGCAAAACAGAGAGCAGCATAGTAACGGTGTATAGATCACCGTTCTAATCGGTCAAATTCAGATACCTGACACTGTCTTGTTTCTTCCATATCCTCTAAAGCAGGCCTTCAGTATTTTCCAGAGGCCTCACATTTAAATGCTAGACTTACATAAATATGCTCGAACAAGAATTCAACGGACTGGCTAACCTGCGCTCGAAACCCTCAACGTGGGATAGTTTTGCTGCAGTTTCGGCAAGCACATGAAGGAATTATCAGTGTCATAGCACGGTTTTGGGCCACACCCGTGCAAAGCTTGAGTCTATAGTGCCTTAAAGCCCTTTACGTCGGCCTGCGTTCAACTCGGGAAATGCTTGTCAACCCTAGTGATTGTTGATGGAACGAGATTGTTTTGGGCTTCAATGGAAAGCACACCCCACTTCTCCCAGCCTTCCTGGCTAATGTAGAAGCCTGAATAATTAGAATAGGGGTATATTATAATATTAGAAACATCAAAAGGAGCCCCCAAAATCCTATTCTAATTATTAAGGCCCCTACATTATCCTGAACACCTGCTGAACCCAACTTCCAACGGAGTGCCGGAGTGGGTAGCCATGGCTGATAGGCCGAGCGACAAGGACGTTGAGGGGTGGCTGCTGTTGTTGTTGTTGTTGGTGGTGGTGGTGGCGGTGCTTGTGGTGCTTCTGATACCGGTGCGGTCCGCCCATCTCAGGCCAAGACGATGCAATGCGTGTCGTTGGGCGACTTCGAGCACCGCCAGGATCGCAAGGTCGTTGGAACCGACTATGTGCCGCCCTGAGCTGCGAAGAGTTGTAGGGTCTAGGGTCGAGGTCAGCCTGTACAGGTAGCATGAGTAGGCGCCACGAAAGAAGTCGTGGTAAGGGTCTCGAACGTATCGGGCAGAATATTGCTGACATCAGCTTCGTGCTACCAGCAACAACAGAGAGAACACCTGCCAAAACATGGTGCTCTGCTCAACCGAAGTCATCCCAAGCTTAGGAGCAGCAAAGCAGCTAGTAGTAGCTGCTACAATCACTAGGACCATTAGAAACAGTCGAATTTCGATCTGCATAGTGCCCTAAACCCTCAACCCCAAGCCCTCAGCCCCTAAACCCTAACCCAGGTCATCAGCATGTGGGACAAGGAGACAGGTGGCCTTCCAGAGATCGGCCTTTGCGATCGGCTCTACGTGTGCTGGCCACAATCGTTTTAGACTGGTTCAGCATTTCCGGGGTTCAGGGTTTCAGGGTTTCGGGGTGGGAGCATTGCTCAGGAGAGAGCTGCACCGAAGCAGTCGGTGGTGTGGGACACATACGCAGGCCTTGCATCCTCGACGTTTCGAAAGAAGTGTCGGGGGTTTGCGTTTCAGTGATGGCCCCAAGGCTTAGGACTTGTCGCTTAGCACTTAGGGCAGGGTTTTCCCCAGCAATAGGCCTAGACTTTGGGGCGCCAAATTTGGACTCAACCCTAAACCCTAAACCCCAAACCCTAAACCTAAACCCTAAACCCTAAACCCCTGGCTTTACGCTGTTCGGCACCGATGCACCGCTCGAGGCCCAAGAGCAGGATCCCAACAGTCTGAGCTACAGGACATCGTCCCTAAACCGAATTAGGCCCCTTCAGTTTTTGAGGGTTTTGGGGTTTGGGGTTTTAGGGCTCGGGTTTTAAGGTTTAGGATTTAGGGTTTTAGGGTTCTTGAACCCCACCCTTTCAGTGATATTCGAAACCCTAAGCCCTGAATTCTATGATTCCTGCCTGAGGCTACACCCGAAACCGCAACAACCCCCCTGGCCCGAAGCAACAAGGATCCAGACGACCTGGCGACGGAAGAGTTTCTTGGAGCTGTCCGGTTTGTCGGAAATTCCGGAGCAATTGGTTTCCCTCAGTCGAGTCGTTCTTTCCCCGGCCTTAGAGGTATCGTGGGAGTCTTAGCAGGGTTGAGAAGGCTGATAGGAGTAGTACATGTTGGTCATCGTCGTCGCCGTTGATAGGTACTGGCACCCGCAGCGTGTTGTTGCGCTTCCTACTTAGACTTTCATGGCGGTGCTTTCATAGCTCGGTGAGCAGAGCCAGCACTAGTTGAAGGTCTCGCAATGATGGCAGTACTACTGCTAGTAGCAGTAGTAGTGGGAGCAGTTAATAAGCTGTGATAAGCATTGTATCTCTGATAAGGTTAACTGAGACTGACATGCACTGTACTACATGTAATGGTACTCCAAGTAGTAGTAACAGTAATATCCACAAGAATGGCTATCGTCGTTATAAGGCAATGGATCGCCGACTTCTTTGAGCCCATCCGCAAGAAGTACTTCGTCAAGCTGGGGTTTCCGCCAGCTGAAGCCCGGAGAATTCAGCGGAGCTTCAGGGCTAAAATGTCAACAGCTTTTGGGATTGGAGTGGATGCATTGAGGCAGAGGATGCTCAATGCTGCAAGCCGGAAGCTGAATTCAAATCACGCCGTGGTGGTAGTGGTAGCGTCCGCACAACCTGTCCACGTGAAAGAGTCGCTACCCTTTCCGGCATCATGATCCATGAGCTCATGGTCATATCAGGGCACTCAGCATGAAGACAGATTTGCAACCCGACTGCTGCTGTTATCAAGGATGTCCAGTTCTATTTGCCGGAGAACACCGTCCCCGAGGACTCCCACGTGGTCATCCTCGCAGGCGGCCACCCCAAGAAATCGTCCACGATCTGGAGCCGCGGCATGAGAAACTGCGGTGGGCTTTAGGGTTTAGGGTTTAGGGTCTAGGGGGTAGAGCCCGATAGGCTCCGTGATTTACCGAAGCCATGTTCAGGAGGCATCCAGCAAGATCAGGTGGATATTCACACCGCGTGCAGTGTTCACGGTTTCGAGTTCTGCACTTCCTGTGCCTACTGAACTCGACAAGAGTGTCATGTCAGCCGTCCAGGAAGGAAGTTGTGATCTACAAGGACCGTCCGTTGCGAGCCAATTGGGGCAGGGTTCGTCTGTTCTGGCGTTTGTCGAGTGTGGGTCTGTCGGGCCGTGGCAACTTGGAACGTTTATGCAGTGTACCATATGTAGTATACTATGACATACTACATAATAATAATAGTAATAATAGTAATAATAATAGTAATAATAATAATAAGAATAATAATAATGGTACTGAGAAAGGATTTCGGCTGCTGCCACGTCTTCGCGATCGAAGCCTGCGGCCGGCGGAAGTATCGTGTGCTCGAAATGCAGCTCTGCTGCGAGTCTTTTGGGATCTGGGGCTTATACGGTTCCGGGTTTACTGTTTAGAGTACGGATGATTATAGACTATCCCCATACAGAATATAGGTACGACTGATACATTGGGTGCTACCAATGGACCAACTCAAGGAGTGCCTGTGCTTTTTGAGACTTTTTTCGTTCGGGTCGTAATGAACCACTCTTTCCTAAATCTGAAGCCTCTATGCACTTTGTAACATGTGACTCTGCTGTCGGAGAAGATGAACAACCCCGAGCTGGAAGCCTCCAAAGAACCCCTGAATTAGGGTTTAGGGTTTAGGGTTTAGCCTCGAGATTTCAAGCAACATCCCGGTGCCTGCAGCTCACCTTCAGAGCGGCTGCGTTCCGTACATGTTGGCGTCGTCTAAACCGTTTGCATAGAAACTCCTGGGCTGGACGATTGAAGCCACAATGCGCGAGAATCAAGAGACAGAAATTCGCAGTGATAATGCCAGCGGGAAGTATAGACTAAGCCCTCTCAAACTCTTAAGCTGTACTACAGTCTCCTCTACCCTAAACCCCAAGCCCTGTGCCCGAGCCACTACCGAGGTCGACGGATGCTCGCTTCTGCCATTGGGAGATGCAGCCGGTACCGCCCCGAGTCGTGGGAGATCCAAGGCACCCTCCAAGAGATAAGACATTGATAGGTACCGGTAGATAATCATGGATACGCGTTTAGCTTTCAAGAGTTAGGGAGGGTGGTTTAGGATTTAGAATTCAGACGAGTTTACGAAAAAATTGGTCTGCACGGCTGCAATCTCCATTGGTCCCTCTCTAATCTGTCTTTGTCTCTACATCTCTATGTGCCTGTCTATCTGTCCACCAATCAATCCGGCGTATTCCATCATAGACACATCTATGTACCTTCTAGCTATCTGACTGCCCATCATGCATTCGAAGATGCATCTGTAGGCGCAAATGCACACAGGCTTGCAGGCAGACAGACGGAAACTGATTTGAAGACGTGCGCGGCTACACCCTTATGCAAGCCAGCAAGGACTTGCAGATCAGTTGCAGTGGTATTTTTGGACTTCTTCAGCTCCGCTCTTTATTTGCTTAAGTTCACATGTACCTTGTCCCGACCTCTGGTGAAAGTGCCGGGCCTCTGTCCGAGTTCGTTTGAGTGAAGCTACCTAGCTCGGTCATTCGAGATTCAGACTCCTAATGTACGTAGGGGCCTTAAGAATTAGAATAGGGTTTTGGGGTTTCCTTACTATGATCCTTAATGGGGTTCCTTACTATGAGCATAGTATAATGGGCCCCCAAACCCTATTCTAATTATGAAGGCCCCTGTATTAAACCCTGCTCCCCTACACCATTCGCCTAGGAGTCCAGCATGGTGAACTATGGGGACCAAATGCAGGTGGACAAACGCCCACGGGATCCGTGGCCAGTGTCTCTACGGCAAGATCTTGGGTCTTGGGATTTCGGGGCTGTCGGGGTGAGATTGAAAAGTCTGCCAACACGAACTCCCAACAATTCCGCTTCAAAAATCCGATATTTGGATGGAAATGGTGCGTGATAGATTTGCAATGTTTTCGATGAATTCCTCAGTCCATGCCCTTGCCCTTTAACATCAGAATAAGACGTGCGGGTATATTGGCGGTCCAAGCGTGTTGTATCATTGGTACTGGCGCCTACCCCAGATCCTTGTTGGACAAGCTTCATGTGAGGGCCAACTAAAAATGGCGAGCAATGTGACATTTAGACCTAATTAGATAGCACCATCGAGCCGTTGCTGCGTGAAGCCTTTTTTCAACAGTGACTGTTTCAGCTCAGTTTTTCACGTCGCTTCACAACCCCAAATATTTAAAGTTAGCATCCTTCTCCGTTTATGTATCTATCTCTCTGTCTATCTATCTCTCTATCTATCTATCTATTTATCTATCTATCTATCTATCTATCTACCTATCCATCTATTCATCTATCCATCCATTCATCCATGCATGCATGCATCCATCCATCCATCTATCCACCATCTATCTATCGACCTATCTATCTATCTGCCTATCTATCTATCTATCTATCTATCCATCTACCTAGCTATCTATTTATCTTTCTATCTACCAGCCTATCTACCTATCCACCTTTCCATCTATCTATCTATCTATCTATCTATCTATCTACCTATCGGACCTACCTACCTACCTACGTACCTACCTACCTACCTACCTACCTACCTACCTACCTAGCTATCTATCTACCTATCTACCCATCTACCCATCTACCTATCTACCTATCTATCTATCTGTCTATCTACCTTCTACCTATCTATCTATCTATCTATCTATCTATCTGTCTATTTGTCAATCTGTCTATCTATCTATCTATCTAACTATCTATCTATCTATCTATTTATCTATCTATCTATCTCTATGTCTATCTCTGTCTCTTTCTCCATCTCTGTCTTTGTCTCTGTCTCTTTCTCTGTCTCTATCTCTATCTCTATATCGGTATCTATATCTGTCTATATTTATCTATATCTATACCTGTCTGTCTGTCTATCTATCCATCCATCCATCTATCTACATCTATCTATCCATCCCTCAATGTCGCTCTCTCTCTCTCTCTCGCTATATATATATATATTTATCATACATAACACACACATACATACCTACATATATACACTTGTATGTACGTAAGCATACATATATAGAAACATTCGTATCTCCCAGCTTCCGTGGATCCCCTCGCCACTTGCCTCGAGCCGGCCTGAACCCTCAAGCCCTATAAGTTGCAGTCTTAATGTAGGGGCCTGCATAATTACCTATATTATTTTGGGGGTTCCTTCTTATAAGTATAATATAATGGGCCCCAAAACCCTATTCTAATTATTAAGGTTCCTATAGTAGTCCCTGTCAATAGCAACACGGCTGGCCTTCACCTTGCTTGCCACGTGGAGCACGCACACAAGTCAAGAAGCTAGCTCGGTGAAACGCTCGTGCAGCTAGAAATACCATATCACCAAGAGAATAAACGTATTTCAGTGCCCCTCAACGAAAGTGGAAGTAGGCCTTCGTGCAACCTTGCATCATATTTAAGCTAGCGCATGCTAGCGCCAAAGTTCCAGGTTCTTCTTCTTCTTGAAGTTAGTTGCTGTTGGGAACAATGATTAACCAGTACCTGCTAGTCCCCGCTGCCATTTCCTTCCAGAGACTATGTATTGTTGGCATAGTTTTTGCAAAATTACGTACTATCATGTGCCACTATCCTTCACTGTCATTTAATCTAGGGGCCTTAGCCTTGACAATTAGAATAGGGTTTTGGGGGTTCCTTATTGCAATTAAAATTGTATAACATACCCCAAACCCTATTCTAATTATTAAGGCCCCTAATCTAGAACCCTACTATAGATCCCTTAAAAGAACCCTTTAAGGATCCCTTTAAAGGAACCCTATTCTAACCATTAAGGC